GACAGCAACTTGTCTGTTCCCCTTCCCCCAATTCCCCAGCACTGTTCCCATCCCCCCAATTCTCCAATAAAAATCTTTAAAAAACAAAAACAACTGCAAAGCATAAAACAACATAAATAAAGATAAAAAATTGGGAAGAAATATTTGGGACACATATGACACACAAGACTTTATTTACTTTATACAAAAAAAAATTCCTACAAATCAATAAGACAGTAATACATTTGAAATATGAGCAAAGGATATGAGAATATACAAATGGTTAATAAATGTATGAAAGATACTCAGCCTCATTAATAACCAAAGAAATGCAAATCAAAATATTTCATCTGACCTGATGGGTAAAGATTTAAAATATTGACAGTTTCCAGGGTTGGCAAGAGTGTGGAGAAATAGCCAGTCTTTTAACACTGTGGTGGGATTATACATTAGGCCAATTTTTTAAAAAGATTTTTATTGAGGAATTGGGGGAGGGGAACAGCGTTGAGGAATCAGGGAAGGGGAACAGATATGTTGCTCTCCCCCTGTTCCTCAGTCTAGTTGTGCAGGACGTCGCTTCACTGGCCCATGTTGGTATTATCATTGTGCTCTTCCTGGGTGAGGGCAGATGCCCAGCGGCCATTGGACAGAAGCTCACGAAAGCTCATGCCCGCTGCCGGCGAGCCCCACTGCAGCCTACGCCATTGCCGGTGACCCATGGCAGCCCACCTCCAGGTTGAGCCACCGTTCACCATCTTAGCTGTAGAGGGCATAGTATCTCTGGCCCTCATGTAGGATCCGAACTAGGCCCTGCTGCTTAGAGCTGGCATCCCAAGCCAACCCCTAACCAACGTGCTACTCGGCAGGCCCCATTAGGCCAATATTATTGGAGGGCATTTTGTGTATCTATAAACACTGTATATCTACAAATATTTTCATGGTGCAGACTCATTGACCTAGCAACTACACTTCGGTAAAGTTATCTATTAAAGATGGATATATAGTAATGATCATTATGGGATTATTTATAAAGATGAAAAAACCCTAAAAATAAGGGGCTGGTTCAATACAGCATAGTAATCCATGCAGTATAATTCTATGTAACTGTTAAAAGAATTAGATAAATCACTATTTAAATTTTTTAAAACTATTTTCAAATTAATAAACTTTATTTTTCAATACAGCAGTTTTAGGTTCACAGCAAAATTAAGCAGAAAGTAGAGAGCATTCCTATATATCCTCTGTCCCCACATATGAGTATGCACACCCTCCCCCATTATCAATATCCTGTGGTACCACCACAGTGATACATTTGTTATAACTGATGAGCCTACATTAACATATCGTTATCACCCCAAATCCATAGTTTATATTGCTGTTCACTCTTGGTGTTGGACATTTTATGTATTGTAAGGTTTTTAAAAAGCAAGTGTGGAAATAAAACAAATAGCATTTAATTTTTGCAAACATTACATATAAATAGATCTGTGTATATACAATATGTAATTTGTGTGTGTAAAATTTGAATGAGAATTTTCTTGTTTTAGAATTTTTCCTAAAGCTGAAATCTAAGGACAATAGGCTATCTATGCTTCCACTTTCTAAAGAGTGGACCAAGGGTGTGCCAAGCACCCCCTCCAGCATGCACTAAAATATATAATTGGCTCTTCAACTATTATCCCTACCACCTCACTAAGTCCAAATGAAGAGAATACCACAAATTTAAGGCAAATTCATTGAAATATAAACCAGATGCCAGACTCAAGAATTGAGAGCCTAACATGATGAATGCTGTGGTTTTCCCCTCAAATGTGGGGGAATCCAAGAGAACCACTCAAAAGCTAGGGTGGCTGCTGAGTTGCAGAAATTTGAAGACTGTGTATTACCTCTCTCAGTAATTGATAAAAAAATAAACAAAAACAATTTAGTAAGTATATAAAATATTTGAACAACACAATTAAGAAACATGACCTATTAACCATATATATCTAACACTGTACCAAATAACTACAGTATATATATATATATTTTTTTCTAGCATTGATGAAGTATTTACAAATATCATAAACAAATCTCAACAAATTTAAAAGGATTGAAAATGCATAGATTATAGTCTATGGATCATGTTCTCAGAGCTCAGTTAAATTGTGCTAGAAATCAGTAATGAAAATATTGCTAGGAAATGCTCATAAATTTTGAAATTAGAAATACATTTCTAAATAGCTGTGCATTAAAGAAGAAATCATAATGGAAATTGGAAAATATTTCATAGTGATCGACATCAAAAACAC